GGCAAAGATGCTGGGAATTTTCAACTCATTGTCGAGCAATGGATCGAAGACTTCGCTGAGACTAAAGAAGTCATAGTTGGAATGCTGGAAACAAAAGGGTCCAACAAAAAACGAGGTCTCATCGATGGTTTAGGGACCGTTGCAAAGTCGCTCTTTGGTACAATGGATGCTCAAGATGCACAGATCATTAATGACAGACTCTCGCATCTAGAATCTGGAGTAGAAGGTACATTCAAGAGTTCTCGAAAACAGTTGGAGATAATGAATTCGACACTGTACCAATTGGGCCACACAGAGGAAAATATAAGGAAAAACGAAGAGATCCTGAAAAACTCCTTAAAAGAGGTTATGCGAGAAAACAGAAATGCAACTAGGGAAATACTGAGTAGAATTAACCTGGACGAACATTTCATGATACTAGAAGTCATCTACACTGGAGTGGTACGAGATGCTGCAAAGATAAAAAATCTATTGACTGACTCCAGCGGGTTGATATTAGATACAGGAGTGTTCACAGAGAAAGGATTAGTCACTCTTCTCAAAACAGCTAAATTGCCGAAGGGTTTAAGTTTCCCTTTCGAATTGGAAATAGGCGGGATGTATCAACTGCAGGAGGTATCCACTGTCAGTATAAGCGTATTCAATATGAAAATTGTTACCATGGTGGAAATACCACTGGTGAACTTTCAAGCGTTCGACGTCATGCTGACACATGGCATTCCCGTCCGGACAACGAACGAGTATCATTCGTATTTGGAAGCAACGAACGAACTTCTGGTCGTATACAGCGCAACGCATCAATATGTGCCAATGACAAAAGAACAATTAAATCGCTGTAAGAGGATCAGGGCACAGTATCTATGCACCGAATCACTACCAATACAAAAGATCAGGACAACGAGCCCCTGTGAAGTACAGATGTTCATGAATCCGAAGAAAATGCCAGAAACATGCACCATTAAACATGTACAACTTCAGGGCCTCACATTAATCAAAATGCATAAAGGAAATAATTGGTTCTTCGTAGCTCCAGAACCCGAAGGGATAGTCATCACCTGCGGAGAAAACGAAGTACGAGATAATCTACAAGACTCAGGAATTCTAAGAGTAGAAGACTTCTGCGAGATCGTTGCATCCGATTTCACCATCAGAGGTCGGAAATCGGAAGAGATCAATCTCGACACGCATGTGCATCCAAAACTGAACCTGACATTGGATAATGTCACAACAATCCAATTACAACACCGAATCTTCAACTTAACCGATATACAACTGACCAACGTGGTCGCAAACATAAAAGAACTAGAAGGGCTCCAGATACAACTGGAGGCTGAGAAGGAGGACCTGGGAGAGGTCCAAAGGAAATTCGATTACCAAGAATTTCTACTACATCCATCATCGATCTTCACATCAGTAATGGTGATACTCGCCCTTGTCCTAGGGTTGTCCCTTTACTGCTGGTGCCGAAGACCTTGGCCTGCACCCAGGAGAGAAACAGCAGATCAAGGAGCACCGTATTTCCCGTAGAATAGTTGATAATTATAATATAAAATGTAAGGAGAAAAATAATTGAATGTATCGATGTAATAGGGTTAGAAGAGAAAATTACTAAGGGTAGCAATTTTCTTCCCTGGCGGGGAGGGATGTTATGCCCCAAAAAGATGTATACAAATTCTCACTTTGATCCGGATAATATGATGACACGAAAGTGGCACGTATTATTCGAAACAAAACGTTGAGAAATGAATTAAGAAATAAAAACACACATCGTAATATTCGTGCGTTAAATCCACGATATTCCGATGTGAGTGAGTAACCGGAGTGCAGCGTCAGCGGATTCCGCTCCGGCTACTGGCCTACTGTACGTTACACCTTGCAGGTGTGACAAAGACAGTGATCCGAATATACGAGGTGAATAAATACTCGTGAATTCGGATTCTCTGGGCCAGTAATACGACGACACTTTTATACTTATAGCTTCTTTGCATTTATGTTCGCCTGATGCCTTTCGTATCAGACCGAACTTTCAATTGTTAATTATAGTATTAAATAATCGTTTAAAATCAATCTCAATAAAGATTTATTAATTGCTAATTATCGCGAGTGATATTCCCTACAACTGAACCCATCCGCTCGGGTCCATAACAGTGGAGAAGATGGATAGGGAGAGGTAGAGAAAAGAAAGATAAGGGTGTAGGATCAAAAGCGATCCCGGAATATCTGGAGAAAGAATGGGGGGAGGAAAGGTGGAACAGACTGGCTAGATATAGGTTAGGCGATGGAATGAGAGGGGACAGAGAATGGGAGAAGGAGGAAAGGAAAAGATGTAGGAGATGTCATGCGAGGGAGGAAACATGGACGCACGTTTTGGAGCTATGTAGAAATGAGGAGGGAGAAGAAAGGAGTGTGTGGGACAGAGTACGGCAGATTCTGGACGAAAAGGGAGAGGGTGAATGGTGGATAATGGAATGGGAGAAGGAGGGGGTAATAGCAGTGAATGAGTGAAGGGGGATGTTTGGTTGCATGGGTGTGTGTGGTGGAGGAGGGTGCTGTGGGAAGGGTCTCAGGGAGGGATAGGGGAGGATGAAATGAGAATAGGGCTCTGGACGAATCAGAGGAATATCGGAGACCGGTAGCGGGGGACACTCGCACTTGCACTCGCACTCTCACGCTCAGCCTCACTGTCGCACTTGCTCTCTTAATCAACACTCGCTTTCAGTCTGGCAGGTTAAGTTGTACATAGTAGTTATAAGTTGATAGGATTGAGAAATGTAAATAGTAGATTATATTAGTAATAACTTTAGAAAAGAACTTATAAGGTGTATGTACGGGGGGGAAATGGAAGTTTTGTGTATCCCCTAGGGGAATTAAATAAAGAAATATTACTACTATTGTCACAGGAATAGATCGTCTATGATAAAAATTATAATTATTTTTAGATAGAGCCCTGATTGTACGTTGATCATTTTCAATTGATATCTTCGATTCAAATCATAAAAATTGTGCTTGATTGAGTCATTTCATTCTGTTCAGAATTGCTATCTTCTAAGAATTTTCATTGTCTTTGTAAGAGAAATAATTTTTGGATTACTTTGAATTCATGAAAATCAAGAAATGTTTTTATTTCTTTAAATTGTTGGTTTTACAGATCATTAAAAATTAACGAGATATATAATTATCGTTGAAATCTCATTCAAGGTTAGAGTTAAGTCCTTAATGATTATATTTGTTTATTATTCATACGTTAACTCAGAGAAAAAAATAAGAGGACACATAAATTTACATTCAATTTTTTCCTTTATTACCTAAATATTTTGATTTGAGAAAATTCGAAGAATTTACAAATGGCGAAAATTTGATTGGTCAAGAGATAAAATGATTCAATCAATGTCCTGCAAATTATTGTCCATTAAAAATATAGTAAAAATTGAAGACTTGAATTGAATGTAAGTCAAAAATCTATTTCCAAGTAAAATCTCTGTCTGCTCATTTCCAAATTCCTCGAATAAGCACTTACCTATCCCCAGCCATTATCTTCGCAGATAGTCTAAAAACAGGTCAAATAAAATACTCATATTTCGCAGATTTATCAAAGATAATGTTAGAAATGCGACTAAAATGCCAGAACATTAAACTCGAGCATCATCGGGAACCTTCGGTTGAGCGGTCAGACGATCGTGAAAACCCCCAAATTTAATTTTACATCGCACTTCATCGGGTACAGTAGCTTTTTGAACTTCACCTAGCTCACTAGTAGCCAAGTACATCACCAGTCCTTGTAAGATCAACGTTTCGTTCAGTACATCACCACAATAATTAGTTAAACTTCAACTAAATTTAGTGATTCAACAGTATTAAATTCAGAGACAATTATCAGTGAAATAAGACTATCAACAGTGAAAATTATACCAAAGAGTGTAAATAGTTAATTAACGACGTGGTTCGATCCCACGCATAAACGGGAATTTTTATAATGCGTCTCAACGTTAATTTTCCAGCACTTCCTTCCACATTTTCTCCCACATCCACCCTAAACCTAGTTCCTCACCAAACAGATAGGTCTGCGAAATCATGCCATAATATATTCATTTGTGGACACCGACACCACCGTGGACCCCACCATCAGTGAACTAGCCCCATCTACTGCAGAGCATCTTAAACCCCACTCACACTTGTGATCCCTATGTCGCCAACAGCATGGCCAGGGCTCTCCATTTCCATCACTCCATGCGGTAGCTTTTTATGAATAATTCAAATGAATAAATTCTAAATATGATTTAGTCGTAATAATTCTCGCGTGCTGATCTAACGAGTTTCCTATGTTGGTGTGGGAGTTGTTGAACGAACTAAATAATTCAACCGTCTTAATTTCTTCGACGGAATATGAAGATTTCAAATGCGTTTGTTTGATGATTATTGTACCACTAAAAACAATGAAGCAATAATTCTCGCGTGCTGATTTAACTTTTTTTGTATGTTCGTACTAAGGTTGTTGAATTAGGTAAACAATTCAAGTGTCATAATTTCTTCTCAGAAATTTTGACATTTCAAACGCGTTTGTTTGATGATTATTTTAGCACTAAAGGTAGTGTAAAAATTAAGAAATTGAGCGTAGGTCTTCCATGATACGCTGTAAGTGTTGCATCAATCACGCTATCATAAGATTGTGTGATGATCTCTAGTATATGAAGTTCTTGATATGAATCATGGGCATTGTAGTATGTTTTCGTCGTTGGATTTTGCATAAATATCGATTATTCATCTTTTTTGGAAAATCGTAAAATGTCCAATTTCAACGCACACTCTCCGGGAATCTGCAACACCGGAAGGCCGGATTTCTTGTTTCAGTAGATTTTTCTTGGAAACTGATATCGAAAATCATCTTGTTTTCTATCTTACCTACTCCAAAATTCTATCCGACAATATCCCGTGACGTTACAACATGTGAAGCACTATATAAACTCCCATCTTTAGCGAATTAAGTGTAATCAGGTTCTTACCAATCATGGATACAAGGGACATCAGGTGATGCTTTCGATCAACTCTAAAGACTGCGAATGTACGACCAGTTACGTTTGGGTGGCTTATGCCTCGGGCTTTGATGATTGTTCTAATGTGTTGGCTCTGAAAGTACAATAAGATGTGTAAATGAGGCACTAAATATTAAGAAGTAATGGGAGCAGTTCCACATTAAAAATAAAAACAAAAAAGGCGATGACAGGGACCCCCTTGTCGTTGTTTCCCAAAAAGTTAGTCATTATTTGGTAGTAAACTTTCGAATGGATCCAAAGCTACTGGCTGTGCCATGTAGAGAGCAAAATTAGGCAACACACATGGAGCATTATCTGACGGTACCCCATTTCCACTATTTCTATATTTTTCGTCTATTTACTCCATGCATTTCATTATTTATTCTTCCACTGTGTTATATTTCAGTGTATTTATATGTATATTCTGCATATAGTAGTATTCCTTTTTTTTCTTTTATAAGTGTATGTGACTGGATTAGGATTCGGTCCTCACCCAAAATCCTCGATAAAAACAGTGACGAAACGTTTTTTATCTTCGTTCAATGCCGCCAAGTCATGTCGTATGCATGGAATGAGAATATGGATGTTAGTATTGGCTTGGTGTAATGTGATGCCATTGTTAGTTACTAATTATTCTTTTTTGGAACATAAAATTATTTGCGTAATATAGTCTTTGAAACTAGACAGTATATATGAGAAAAAGGGTGGGAGGGAGCGAGAGAGAGAGAGAGAGAGAGAGAGAGAGAGAGAGAGAGAGAGAGAGAGACATGCCTCGCCGTTCCGTTTGGAGCTCACTTTTCGCTCCGCAGAATGCCCTCTCCACATAACCTTACTTATTACGATCGTCGATGAGGCTCAGTACCGTTCAGTCCTCTTCACTTCGGATTCGAGTTGCATTAGTCACATGTCAGAGCAGCCGATTAAAGAAAAATCCGAATTTCAATCAATCCCTATTAATTACATTCCAAATATGCCAATATTCCTTGCATGATTACTTGCGCAATGAATACATCATATCTCCCCCTCTCAAATCGGCGCCGTTCTAGGCTTGTCTCCAACCGAATCCCCACAAGGACGTAACAAACTCGAGCAGAAATACGCGGCGATCCGCCACGCGGTATTGATGGGGGCTTTGCACCACACATCATGTTCCCAGTTTAGGTCAATTAAAAGTTCTGTTTCGGGAATAATTAACCTTTGTAATTATTACAAATGAGTTCAACTGGACGAAGAGAATTGCCATTCGTACGGGTGTGTCTTTTCCCTCATGATTTCCAGTAATTTCATACATTAGTGATTAGCGCTAAAATCATAGATTTTTGTATCTCACTATGGCGATTGATGCCACACACTGCGTATTCTATAGCTAACTTCTTATTCGTTCCGTTGACTTGCTTGTATGTCCTGCTAATTATTATTGCAAATTTTCCTCAATTCACGACTGTTTCCGGAGAAAAACTGTTATACCCAGCGTGGGCTGCACCTATAATTATAGTAGATTCGAGGCTTGAAAAGATAAATCCCATCAATTGTTTATCGGCATCTAAATTGTTGGATACAAGAGCGAGATGTCTCGACACACAGGCATATACCCACACACACAGTGTGGACAGCGCGTTGACGCGTCTCTGTATACCTGTAGTTAGTTAGATATAATAAATAGCTAAAGGCAGACGTGCCGATTCACGTTTATTCTCGCGTGTTTCTGAGTTACTCATTCTCACCATATCACTCGTTCCATTGCTTGCACTGTACGAAGTCCTAGAGGTTATGAGCGTTGCACGTGATTAAGTACTTGGGTTGAAATCAGTGAGTTTTTTTTCGGGAGTTTTTTAGGTCACTTTGGTGTAAATAAATTGAAAAATATCGGACTCAAGTGTGTGAAGATGGGAGAGGCCGGCGAAGGTAGTTGTGGTGGAACGAACTTTGGACTTAGAAAATTGGGTGAAAATAACTATCAGACATGGCAATACAAGATGAAATTGGTAATGGATAGGGAGGCTGTCGCCGAGGAGGCCCCTACGAGTGAGGGGAATGAACTCACTGCCTGCAGAAAGAAAAATCGAAGGGCGAAACAATTAATTGGGCTAATGATAGAAGACAGCGAGGTGTCTGTCATTGATGGCCTTGAAACAGCAAAAGAAATGTGGGATGCCTTGAAGGAGTACTACACAAAGGCATCATTCACTAACACCATTATACTTTTCAAGAGAATTTGCCTAAGTAGAGTAGTGGAGGGGGGCAATATGGAACATCACATAAAGAAGCTTCAGGAAATGATGAATAAACTCCTCGGATTCGGGCAAGAACTTCCAAATGCATTAAAACTGCGATATTCCTGATGAGTCTGCCGGACTCTTATGATTCTCTAGTACAGTCGATTGAAGGGAGAAGGAGAGAAGAGTGTACTCCTGCAATTGTGAAGTTTTTCCTGATCGAGGAATACAGGAAGAGGGAAGGAAAGACCTCTATCGATTCAGCGGAATCTGCGATGAAGGTCAAAGATTCGAATCTGGCCAACAAATGTTTCTTTTGTCAACGGAAGTGGCATCTGAGGCATGAGTGTCAGCAATATCTAAAATGGAAATCAGAAACCAAAACCGAGAATTCCTGGCTACTGCGGCAGTTGAAGTTTCAAGCGAGAGTGACAATGATGGCTATAATACGGGTTACGATGTGGCATACTGTGTCGGTGATATGAATAAAACGACACAAACATCTTCATGGTATTTGAACTCGGCTGCCACGAGTCATATGACGTGTAACATCGATTCCTTTGAAAAATTGGACACTGACTATCGCTCGACTGTACGTGTTGCCAACCAACTTTTAAGCGCAGTATACGGTATAGGCTCTGGGAGAATTAAGTGTCGTACAGCAAATAGGAAAACACAAATCCTAAAGGTTGAAAAGGTTTTGTTTGTCCCTGAATTTTCGTCGGGCCTGCTGTCAATTACCGTACTTGACAAGCAAGGCTACAAGGTATCGAGAGAGAGTGGTCAAATGAGAAATGAAAAAGGAAATGAGGTAATAGCAATCGGTGACACTCACAACCACATGTACAAATTAAGGCAGGAAAAGGTCGAATACGCTTACTAAACTTCATCCACTCACCCAAATCTATGTATACACGTTTGGCATGAACGTTTTGGTCACCGAGACCCGAGGGCAATCGAGGCACTCAAAAGTCGCCAACTTGCAACTGGAATCAAGATTGACGAATGCTCGATTAAGACAACATGCGAAAATTGCATAAAAGGGAAGCACTCCAGAACATCATTTCCCCAGGAATCGGAACACAAGAGTACGACGCCTCTCGACCTAGTGCATACCGATTTATGTGGACCCATGCCGGTGATGACACCCGGAGGTCGAAGGTATGACATGACTATAATCGACGACCACAGTGGATTCACCTATGTTTACCTTTTATGTGAAAAGTTCCAAGTGTCACAAATAACAGAAGACTTTGTTGTTTATAGCCAAACTCAGTTTGGGAAGAAGCCCAAAAATATAAGATCTGATCAAGGAGGCGAATGTTTGAAGCAGGAATTGAGGAATTTTCTGAACGAAAATGGGATTCAGACTCAGTTGACAACGCCGTACACACCACAACAGAATGGGGTCGCAGAGAGACGTAACCGTTCCCTCATCGAAGTAGCTCGGACGATGCTCATCGACGCGAAACTACCAGCCACATATTGGGGGGAAGCTGTAGTAACCGCTGCATAAGTGCAGAACTTGCTACTTTCAAGGACCAAGTCAGCTACTCCCTACCAACTCATGTTCGGTAAGATACCCGATATTAGCCACTTGAGGGCATTCGGCTGCAAAACTTATGCGCACATTCCAACCGGAAAGAGAACTAAACTAGATTCAAAATCACATGAATGTATCATGGCAGGTTACTCAAAAGAATCGATGGGTTACTGACTACTCGTAAAATCATCGAGAAAAATAATCATCAGCAGAGACACACGGTTCCTGGAGATGCAGCGAGGTAGTGACGAGGCATCAGTCAATGTTGACTTGGATAGCAGCTTAAAGCCGTCGAGAAGGGGTAACGAGAAGCATGGATCTGACAAGGGTGAAATCCAACTCACATATAAAATCAGCCCAGGGGAAGTAGCATCAGGGGAAGTTACGTCAGGGGAGGTACGTCAGGGGAAGTTTCATCAGGGCAAAGCACGTCGGGAAACGCACTGACACAAGAATCATAAGGATCCAACAAGGCAGAACCGTCGACTCAAGAGGAAAGAAGGAATTCTGAGTCTACGGCTCTACCACCCAAAGCAAATCCTGATCACACGATAAACATCTCTGATATCCCCCTGGCACAGAGAATCATCCAAGAACCCGAGGGAACCACGCAGAACCCAGGGACCTCAAATTCAAATGACGAACCGCTAGATATAATAAATAGTTTGCCATTTATCAACTCGAGAAAGGGTTGAGAGTTTTCGTCTAAAGGCAGACGTGCCGATTCATGTTTATTCTCGCGTGTTTCGGAGTTACCCATTCTCACCATATCACTGGTTCCATTCCTTGCACTGCACGAAGTCCTACATAAATATGGAAATTTATTATTTGATTATAATAACTATGTAATCTGACTGATTACAAAGAATTCACGAATTTTGTAGGAGTAGGAATCCAATTCAGGTGCGATCTGTGCAGACCCAACCTTCTCTTAAGTACTAAATTGATTGTTTATATTTCATCACTTGGTCAGCAAAATCAGTGACGCTGGCAACTGTCACGCTGGCAATGCTCTATGTCTACACATTGAACAATAACGCAATTGATCAAATGTGGGGCACAACATTCCGCCCTTTTTAAAATAAAATTTTTTCATTTGCAATAACAAAATTTTAACGAACAAAAATCAACTTTCCTCTTCCTTACAATCTAATTGTGTATTAACAATAAAAAGATTTCCACTAATGAAAACCTACGTTCTTTTTATCTTCAAAACAATTTTTGAAAACAATAGCAAAATTTGACTAGCAAAATGTATATATTTTACCCCTTTTGAAACAAAACTTTTCCTCACAAAATTGTAACGAAATTTAAATTCCTCTCCCTTTAAAAGAC